TTAGGGCTAGAGGATCGCGGTAAAGCATCAATTTCGAGACTCATTTATGCACTTTTTTTGAGGTAAGTTTTCGGAAATTAATTAAACATATGGCGTATAAATTGTATATCTTTTGAGTACCATAAAATTTGTTTCCACGTCGAAAACTCGTAATTCTTAAGTGTTACGTGACAATCTGAACTATTATAGCCTATGACAATTTATTAGAACTATTATAGCCTGTGAAAAAAGTTTGTTTGTCAGAATTTGTGAATTCAAAATCAGTTTGCGGAGTCTCGTGTTTGGGGATAAACATCGCTAAAATTTGGCTTCTGGCGGCAGTGTAAGTACGAAAAAAATAAATCGATTTTGAAGGCGTTCTTCAATAAAAGTGCGTATTTTGCGCTTTAATTAGCAGCTGTATTCATGGTCTGGTTCTCCAGCCTTGCAGCTTGCAACTTTTTCAAATACCTTGACCAGTGCTGTTTCACCTGAAAGCCGATCTGCCGGCGATTCTAACTCTCGTTTCTGCTTCCTCAAACTTGTGTTATTAAACGGCATCACTTGGGGAAGCTTGACCAACGACCTAATTTTTGAAATTTATTCATTTAGATCATTGATAGACAATGTACGAAATCCGTCGCTGTTACGAGCAAAATTTATTCAAAAAGTTTTTATGGGATTTTTTCTTGGCACGCTATATTTGCGAACCAATATGGACCAGGTTGAATTACTCTTGAATTTAGCAGCCCCTCAAGAAATTTCATCCTAATTTTGGTTGGAAGTTTCGTGAATTATTGCTTCGTCATTGGTTCGACTTCGCCAGTAAGACAATCAATTCCTTTATGACTCGTTCAATCGCTTCGAAATTCCTCTACAGTTCGATGTTAACCTTAATACTGGCGCATGTCAGGATTTAAACTGCTATTAGCTTGCTTCTAACTAATTTTTGAAAGGGGAAGCCATTGACAGATTTGCCAACGGGTACCACTCGGCTGGTTCCGTGTGTCTCGGCCATTCATAGAGACTGAAATGCGAGTGTTTATTTCAAGAAATAGTGAAATTCAGGATGGTGTGATCAATATCAAAGGAGCTTTATTTTACTACATTTCCGAATTGACGTACTCAACAGTTTTCGGCATCCAGACATTCTTGCCAGCCGATTTCCCGCTGTTGGTTCGAGAATACCACGATGGAATCTATCCTGTTGCATGCTATTACATCGCAAAAGTTAGTGAAGTATGCAACAATACCGTTTCTTTTTTTTTTATTTTCCCGTGATTGCATTTAGCGCTTAGGACTACGTATTTTTTAAGTGTGAACAACTTTTTCCCTCATGTCACTTTTTATACTTGGTCAACTTTCAGCATATGCCCCTCTTGTGCTTAGCTTAACTTGGATTGCTGATCCAGGACCCAGGATCACCAAGACCACCTGGGATCTTCTTGCCCAGGGTCGATAAGATAACCTGGACCATATATCCTGCATCGTAAAGTACGATTTCTTCACTTTTACATTTGTGTTAGTATTTTGTCCACTGTTCGACATGCCTAGATTTTGCGCTTCATTAGCTTTCACCCTTTTTTAAATACAATGCTTCGGTGTTCAGGAATTAACTTCTGTTTTATTATCGCGTTTCTTCTCACTTTTAACTTGGCTGTTCAACTGTGAACACCACACATGTCTGGGCTGGAATCATTGAGTACCAGGATATATTTCAGGATCCAGTAAATCCATATAACTTTATGCAGATAATGCTGTACAAGGACATTCTACTGTAGACATTATGTTTAACGTTGACTGTTTATCTCAGCGACAGCCACTCCAGATGATCCAGATGAAAATCTTGCAAAAATTTTATAAACTTTTTCCCAGGTGTTTTCATATTTGCCAATTTTTACGGTTGATGGCATATGTATGGTGTGTATCAGTTACTATATGATCGGCCTCTATCCAGCGCCTGCAACATTTCTAACCACTGTGGCTACTTGTATTCTAATCGAGTGGTCTGCCGCCAGTATTGGAATTATGTTGAGCTCGGTGGGTGCATTAATTTGAATTTTCTGAATTTTAAGAATTTCCAATCACGTTTATGTGTTCGGGAATAGCTGCTCAACATGTCAGAGATATCTTGAAACGGATAAGCTCTATCAGAATGCTTCTGTCTGAAGAACGAGTAAGTTGGCAATCCCTTCAGGAGAAATAAGCATGAAAATACATTGCAATCCTGACTAGCAAGCGATGCAGCATTGGTCAAAGCAACTGAAAAAATTGCCAGTTACACACAGCTGGAGAGCTATGCGATGTACTGCAGCTATATAGCATACCAAATTCAAAAGTCAAAACTCTCTTCGTATTCACTGTCTGTGAGAGACCGAGGCACTCCGAGTGGTAACAAATACCAGCAGCAACCACTCGCTGGTTATTGGCTCCCCTTTTACAAGCAAGTTGATGGCGGGTTTAACTCCTTGGCATATGCCAATACCATTTAGCCATCGATTTGCGAATTTGAGCCATCGACCTAGTGCACGACAGCAGCAACACTTCCCATTATGCTGTGTGTCCACCAAATACCCAAGAGACTTGCTACAGGGTTATTCTTTTGCAGTGGTTATAGATCTCAACTCATTTAAAGTACTCTTCATCGAATAAAAGCAGCGTGCATTTGCAGGTCTCTCCATCCTACGCGATCGCGGTTTCTGTATCAGGGCCTCTGCTAACAGTCTTCTCGATAACCGGTGGTCTTTATACTAATATCAGAATGATTCCCGAAAGTGTTCGATGGGTGCAGTATTTTAGCTGGTATATCATTCTGCTGTTTTATCTGAAAATTACGGCACAACTTCGTCGAGCTCTGCTTGCCCGGTAGCTTCGGAAACTTCAGAATAAGGATGCTTGTGGTTTCGGTAGTTCCAGAGATTTTGGCGAAATTTCTGGCAAGTACTGCCAATTTTGGTTACACTTC